CTGTAAATCACGAATCTGGTCCTGAATAGGCATTTCGAGCTGTTCTTTGACACATTCTCAGGAACTCAAGAAACATTGTAAAGGTTCGCAGGCAGAATTGTCAGCAATACACAGCAACATTTTCCACGAGTCTTCTTCACCGCTGAATATCACGAGAGTCATGCACGACATTGCAGAGGAACAGCGAGCAATCACAACACACGATACAAGTTCGAGTCAAGACCGTAGTCAAAGTCCTTGAAAGTCTCTGCGAAGTCAGTTGCAGATATCTTCGACAATGTGACACTGGGTGCTCGATCTGCAGGTGATAACTAGAAAAAAGAGGAGCGCATAAGACACATGTTACCCCATCATTTACACTGTTACTAATCCAGCGGACATGAAGAAAATTCGGTGTATCTCTAACCTGTCACTGTGAGATGCTCCGCTTGCGGAAGTAAGATGCACACCTGTGTCTACATATCACCACGCCGGTATCAATCTAGCTATCAATATGCTTTGTAAATGAACTCAACGAGCACTAGATTATGCTTCTCATGAACTGTACAACACAGCTCGTGGGCTTATGACCTGTAGTTGATACAGCAAATCCTCTAACCGAGAAAGAATATCTGTGACTGAACATGGGGTGGCCTTCGAGGTTTGTAGTCGGACTAATAATAGGAGAAGAAAATTTGTCAAGGTACAATATTGACCAACTTTTGCTGCAGTTCTCTTGACCGGGAAATATATCAACTCCTAAAACCGCAACATGAATATATGAATACTCATGAGCATGTGTAGATACCGTCTACTTGTACGAGTAAGAATGCACGAATGCATGTTCCATGTTCCTTTAAATATTTTCGAATATATGTGCTGACTGCTTGAACTGAACGACTTTTCGAGCCTATTGACGCCGGTTACCTCAATCGGGGAAAGATGCATTCGAATTAAAAAGAGTTTGCAGGCGCTCGGCTCATTGACAATAACAGCTGCTTGATCGAAAGAACATGACGAGGGTCTCAGAGGCACACATCAAGTTCGGATTTGTCTTCACATCACACTCCGAGTACATAACATACACTTCGATAAGTGGCTTGACCGAGAATGAATCATGGCCATCAGCAGGTATCTGCAATCTATCGTTACTTATCCCCATGGAGATGATTGTGAGCTCGAGCGAGCACGTGTGTGCTGTGTTTGATGACTGACACATCCTCACCAGTACTCTCGAGCAAACCCGCTGATTATTAAACTGAAGAACATGTTCCAACGTTCGCTCAACAGTTGCAATCTATCGTCTCTGAATGTCTAAATAGTAGGAGCGTGCTACATTATTGCTCGTGAAGCTTTCAATAAAACCATTGAACATGTTTTGGCCAAGGCAACCCGGTCAACAGTGTAATAGTCAGTTGCACTAGTTTGAACGCACTGTCAAGTCAATCGAGGAAGCTACGAATTCCATCGTGCTGCGAGGGCACCTTCCCTCACTGTTCATTTCATGCATTTAGCCCAGTTAAGAATGTTCCACGGAGGAAGGACATCTGAGTTCAACTTCCCGCGAGGAGATTTTTTATCAACACTGACAGCTGTTTTCTTCTTCTCACATGGCAGAGTACAAATGCTCTCGTCCAAGCTTCAGATACAATAGTCTTTCAATTCTAAGTACCTGAACTTTTTCTCGGCTCAACAAGCCCGCGGTTTCATGGCTGATCAAGTCAAGGACGGCAAAGTCAAGGATACAGGTTCAAACCAAGTCTTAGGAGTTTGAGCAGTCCCCATTCCCACGAAGACCCCAACGGTTACTCGCCCCGTGTGCTTAACAAGTCAGTTACCCTGCCAAAGCGCTGTTCGACTTCAGTAGATACGGGGCTAAAGGCATTTATAGGTGCCACCGATTTCTTCTCCCTGGAACTTCAAGAACTGGTCCCCTGCCAAAGCCGAGTCTTAGACTTCTGAGAATCTCAGAATCTTCAGGCATAGATATCTAGGTGCTAGCAGTTTCTCCTCCCTTGACTTCCAGTCACACCGTTTAAAGTAGACCCTCCTCACTCTAAGTTGGGGTCTTCAGTCGAGGTCGAACTGGAGCACTTCCACTTCAAGTGCTGGTCTAAACAGGGTACAACTCCAACTATCAATCGAGCAATCTTTCAAAGAGCTAGGCTGCCTTGCATAAGTTCAGGAATCGTTGCAATCTGATTGGCTTGGCAGCTCGAGTTGGTGCTTTATGCTTCACGGAGGCAGGCAGGCGGCTGGAAGGCTTCGCCTTGTAACACATGGTGACGGTAGCCAGAGTACGTCGTAGATGGTGAGCCAGAACAGGAGAAATTCGAATACTTTCGGTGGACTACTCGAGTTGCTTTTCGGACCAGAAAGCAGAAACTGACGTCAAGTTTGGTTGTTGCAACGAGCGCTCCTCCTCCTATGATATAAGAAAATCTTTTGGCATTTTTGAGATTCTTGGGCAACCGAATAGAATGGAAGTTTTGTCGATTAAAAAGTCCGGTATTGTCGGTTTGGGGCGGTAGTGTAGATGCTACTGCAGCTTTGTGGCAGGAATTTCTTCTCTCGACGAACGGGGAAATTTTGGGTTCCATAAAGAATTATGTACTATGAATTGTTGATAGGGAAGAATCCCAGTGCTTGCGATAGTTGGGAATATGGCCCAGACAGGACGTAGGTGGGCGGTTGAATGTGGACGTTCTTAAATTCCCTCGTTAAGAGTCGCGAGGACACAGATCTGCATGTTGCGAGCTGTTGTTCATTTGTTTCTTTTCAGTTATGAAGGATCTGCGGTGGACAGCTGTCTGTACTTTTCATGGATCTCAGTCAAGAGAGTTGAAAGACTTCAGTCAAAAGCTATGCGAAACGAAGACCATTGAACGTAAAAATTAGCCACATTCGTAAGCTCGTCCACAAACTAAGCTAAAACGCGGCCGCTTCTTCTTAAATGGTCAAGAAGTCCTCCCAAATGGGCGCCATATTGAAAGCTAGACCTCCTCTTCTCGAACTGACTGATCCAAATTTCACCAGTTGATGAGGTCTTCACTTGGTGACAGTCAAGACTATACGAGACTAAAGTCAATTAGATATTATTAACCAAGCAGGGCGTGAACAAGACACGAACAATGATGAACTGTTGCAGCACATGCAATATAACTGCAATGATGAAGAAATATTGAAACAAATTGACTTAGTGACTAAAGTCGTCAGTCAGTTGACACATTGAGGTTTGAATCTTCCATCAGAATTAACGTTTGAATTCTTCACAGAGAAGTGGTTTCTCTGTACGAAATTCTCTGAGTGCACGCACAGCCTATCTAGAAGGTGGATCAAGACGATTTCAACTGCAGAGCACACAATCAACGACAGGGGACAGGAAACGAATATAATATTGTACATATTTGGACATGTCCTGACAGTGGAAAACAGTTACCCAAACTCATGTTGGCTCGATGAAGGGATAACAAACTGGTCGTGGGTTTTGCAGACACAGATTGATGCACTGGTTAGCGGATGGTCAAACGTTGAACGCTCTCGGATCCAATGAGTAACAACTTTTCAGCAGCAAAACGTGGAATTGAAAATTCTAAAAAACTGGAAAACCTCAGTCAGTTGTGTAACCTTTTTCTGATTTTACTGAGTCTCATCTATTTCTGGTCATTACTTCTATCGTGCATCATGTGAACTTGAAGCACATTAGAATCACAGTTTCTGTATCCAAATTCCAAAATGACTGCTATTATTGTGGTAACAGGTGAGAGATAACCTGAACCGTGAACCTAGAGGAAAGCCTTTCGTAACACATGGAGAGGAGGTAGTCTTACAGGAAAGCCAGGGAAATTCTCGGCAACTTATATCGTCAACGCCTGGGCAATTCGGAATCTACTTTTCCTCCGAACAATTATCCAGCACGTATCTAGTCGTCCGAGTCCGGATTAGGTCACAATAGGTAGGCTGCAAGAGCTTTAGGTGCCGGCGATCAGCGACAAAGGACTCATTTAATGTGTTCTGCAGCTTTATACTTTTTTGTCGATGAACTGCCGTGCAATGTCACAGTGACCGTCAGTTGACGAAACCCCGTGCGCTCCATTTGACAAGGGCGAATAAATTCAAGCATACCGCTGTTAAGGCGTAAGATGTACGGCTCGTAGCCTGATCTTACTACACTCTTTGCTAATTCGGATCGACCCCGCACTAGGCAATAGTAACCTCTGTTACCTCTGACGGCTCTAGTTGCTCGTTCCTTGCTTGATCGTATCAGAGGACTTTCCGGATTCCCGAACTGTTCCAACACTCGTGCACTCGTGGGTCGGGAGCACCTGGACTCAACAGGTGTCTGTCGAATCATGGCTCGCCCTTTTCAAACTGTAGTCAAAAAAGGGTCGCTGCCTCAGAACAACAAGGCGTCAGATTGTAGGAACTTCCCGCCCAGCCTCTGGATTATACTAACAACACAATTTGGATAATGCTATAAAACTCTCGTACGTAATTCTGAAGAGGTCCGGCATTGACCCCCATGAAAGGCAGGCCGGGTTTCGTTTGGATTGATGCAGGCCGCAGGCAGGCAGTCAGGCGAGAAAGTTCGTGCCGGGCCCCGGTCAACACTCAAATGTTGGCTTTTCACTGTTCCTTATCATCGGACAGGGACTATGGCAACGAATACGTGCTGTCGACACTCCTCCGACGTAGAAAATGTGTGATACGAACTCGCGGAAGTATACCGGGAGCTGAGGGAGCTGAGGACCTGCGACTCAATTCCCATGCCCCATAGGCTTCAGCCTGACCGTGAATTCACCGGCTTGCCAGCCAGAATACCGGGGGGTGGTCACATGTAGCTCAAGCCAACACCATCCCGGATGCTTTCGTCAAACTTTGCCGATTCACCATAATGACATCATGCGCTTGTCCACTAGGATCAGTGATGCAGTTGCAAGTGGCGTCAGAAGATTGTCATTTTCTGTTCAGAATGCTATATAAGCTGCGAGCCCAGCCGCCTTTTTCAAATTCATATCGGTACTCAGTTCCTTCTGATGCTCGGTACTCTTCCCGTGTATCAAGAACTTGCAGATTCCATGCTGCCCGGAGTTCTCACTCTGTTTTCTGCGCTCTAGACACGTGAGTTCTTGGCACACTGGCAGCTCAAGTCTTTGCTTACTCTGCGTCACCTTGTCACCACTCGGGCTCAGAACGGAATTGGGTCCGGTACCCATCAGTGGGTCTCAACAGAAGCATTGAGCCTGTGACGAATCAAGTACGTGCTAGTCAATTTCTACGTGACAGGACGATGGACTTCCATCGAAACCTTTGATGTACCTCCAAGTTAGTGACGTATTACAACTGTATGGAACGTTCTGAACACTTTTTAAACAATAAAAGTACGCTTACCACCAGCAGCGGGTTATTACTATCATGCCTTTCTCGATTCAAGCTTACCTTTTGATGCGCTTAATTTCAGATTTGACAGCTTCCGTGCCAAAGGAGTCCATTGCATACCGATCTTCAGAAAGAGCATATTCGTAACTTACAAGGTAAGTTATCAATTCTGTAGTTTCGGACTTTCTCCACAGTATACTGTATTGGTTCTGAGTAGAGGACACGAGGAGCTACATTTTTAACCGTTCACTCTTGCTTAATTGGATCTGGATATCAACTGTCTATATCGTCAGCAGCTATGGCACATTGTCTTGCAATGTTTCTGACAACATGTTCAACTTTGGAGTTGTGATTTCTTCACCTGTGTAATTCTTTGCACGAGACAATATTTGCAAGATTTAAAGCGAAATCTCGATCCTACGTGGTCACCTGCAGATGGATGACGATTCTTCGGTTGAAGAGACTGAGATGTACATTAACAAGCTGAAAGAAAGCTTGAGATACCTGGAGGATGTGGATGATTCGGACAGCATTGAGATTACTGCTTCAAATTTCTCATCCTCCACAGACGACATGATTGAAGCTTATCCTCATGACGACGAAACCTTAAAGATTGAAATTGTCAGAAGCGACTCCAGCCAAGAAGATACAGTGATGCAATTATTCTCTTGCCTCCGTGACCTTAACCTGACGGTCAAACATGCTAACGTTTCGACAAATGCATATGGTATTCATGCTACCATTACTGTCCAGGTACAAATCTTTCTTTCATGTGCATTTGTGCATCTGATGCACATATTCCAACACTGCATACTTCACGTGCCATTCGGGAAATTTTAAATTCGTTACATTGTCACACGGAGATCTAGGAAGGGTGCTTATCTGGCTGATTGTAGGTCTATTGCATATCGGTGCAGCAAGAGGCGGGATGAAATTCCTTACAATATCAGAAACTAAACGAATTCGTTTCGTGTGCAGCCCTCGGATACATCTACGGATCAGTACACACTTTGTTCTGAGATTGAAGAGGCTCTTCAAAGATACCTTCCATGAGAGAATTATTCACTAAAGATCTCATCTTCGATGACCATCAGCTGTTTCAGAAAGTCTCTCATACAACTGGCAAGAATAAGAATATGCAGACAATCTTCTTGTGAGTAGTTCGTCGGGTGATACTTTAGTGAGGAAACGAAGAAGTCCCGGAAGAGGGTAAGTTGAAGGTTCAGGACAACGTGTCTTCCAAGAGACCTTGTCCCGAACCTCTTTAGGGAAGTCTAATTGACGTGTATCTTATGTATGACAGTTTCAACTAGCAATCGGGTTATTGGCAAAGAACGACTTTAACCATGTCAAGTAAAGCTCACTAATCATCGCTAAACGCTCTTGAACAACAAGTTGATGGACCGGCCGTGATCGTTCACTCTTACCAGACTTATCTCAAGATCCATTATACCGTATAATCAAGCTTCGCATATGTCCTACACAGTTTTCATATGTATTTCTTTGATGATCTAAGGAGGGTTTGAATTTACATCAGTTTGAAATCAACTGAGGTATGCTTATGGGCCCCATAAGAGAAGCTCTTTCGAAATAAAATACCTATGTTTGCTACATTGTACACTCAGATTCTTGCGTATTGAATCTTTTCTATTCCAGTGCAATGTATGACTAGAAATGTCGCTATGTCTTCTATGCAAGATGTGCTTGAACGTGTTCACAACTAAATTGAGTCAAAGGAGACAAAAGCTTATACTTGACATGAATTCTCAAGCTTCTAAGTAAGATATGGTTCCTGAGTATGTTGGATCTAATGGCTAGAAGTGTCCTAAAAGGAACATGTAGTACAAGTGAATGTATATAATCCCGGTGCCCTTGGAAGAGTGAAGTTAGGCAAGAGAGATAATATTTAGAGCATGTGGCTTTTGACATCAAGGACTCCATAGTGAAATCAAGCAACTTTTTTGTACACTGAATTGAGGGAATATTGGCGATAGTTATTGTAGAACTCTGATACTGAACTTTGCTATTCAAATTATTTGTCATTTTGACTTGCATTTGAGTTCATGCTGCGCACCATCTCACTATAAAGATGATCTCAATTGTCCACATTTCCAAACAACTGAAGAAGTTCGGTAATACTTCGGCCAAAATCCTCCCGGAAGAGACAAACATAAGCTCACGAGCACAAGGTTCTAGTTTTAAACCCATTCAGTCGACAGCCTCACAACCGGAGTTCAGTGAGGATCCCATGTTGGATGGGGCTCTTGTCGGAGGGGAGGTATTTTCCCAAATTATTTTCCCGGAATGAGAACGAAGTGGTCTTCTTAAGGTTCCTCAACAATTACCGTCATTGGACTGAAATTGATCAGTTTGGGTCCTTCAAGTCGAACTCTGCGGTTGTATCAATGCTGCATCAACTCACGCACGAGTATCTCGACAGAGGACTTGATATAACCAGTCGTATTGATTTTAGTCTTGATCATAGCATGGAATTGAAATTATCCAGGAACTTTGTCTTGCTTCAACTCTTCCTCTTGATCATGACGTTGAGTACATAAATGGCAATGGATTTCCGCCCTCGCTTTCTCCCATGCTTTGGTTAGTTGTTCAAATCTGACCGTTCCGATCGTTTGTTCTAAGTTACTGCTGAAACTGCGGTGTGCATGTTTATCTATGTGGCCGTATGAGCTGGCAATGTGTGCAAAAACAATACAATAATCAGCCTCCATGATTAGATCAATCCTTATCAGACGTGCTCCGTGAAAAGTTGTGTTCTGTTCCGCCTAGATGCACTTCACTTTGCCCCGGCGACGGCCCGTGCGTGTGCTGATTGACAAGTCGTAGGTGCTGATTGACAAGTCGTACGACAACTCCTCTCATTTAGGCGAGAGGTGTGTTGTGCTGTAGGCAGGACGTTGGAAACCTTGCGAACCTTGCGAACCCTGCTCACGTTCGCCTCTATAATGGCGTGCTTGGAACAGAGAATGGTGAAGAGGAAATACCTTCGGATCCGGTTGAGATTGATGCACGTATCACTGAGGCCGCATTAAACGACTCCGACCCATTGCTTGGGACGATGCTGAACTCAGTGACGTACGTTTTGGTTTTAGAGCATGTGTTGTGATACGACTGCATTGTTAGACTGTAGCCATCTGGTTGAGCACGGATGAACGTTTGAGGCACGTCTCTCCGAGTCTATTTTCCACAAGCGAGATCTAACGTTACATCTCTGTGAAAAGTCAAGTCAAAAACGTCTTGTTGCAATGTTCATCACAGAATCTCGACCCAAAGATTGATGAAAGAACTTGTAAATGCTGACGAGCTGGATTAAATAAAAAAGGCATCATCGCTCACATGAGATTCTTATAAAGCCTCCGGACGACAAGGTGCTCGAGCATATGCTCGTACGTGTGAGTGAAAGGACCTATGAAATTCCTTGTCGGATCGCGATCCCTCTGCTGCCATTTCGGACGTTCAAAGTGCAGACTTTTTTAGAATCATCTGAACGCTTCCTATGGGTAGTCTTACAATGAGTACACGGGAACCCAGTCAAAACCAAGCCAGTTCCACATCCTCAGGACCATCTACAACTGTTATATCTGCCGGCTGGATCTTCAGTAAGAATCAGTTCAGAGTCTTCGATCGGTCGTTCCTTCAACAGTCAGCAGTACCTTGATTTCACATCATTCCCACACGTGTATTGAAATGTCAACGTCTTGTAAGCTCCAGGTCCATGCACAAGATGCAGAACAGCTTGTGGCCATGCTTGGCCAGGTTTAGGCAACCTCCCTTCAACAGACATTCTCTAGTCAGTGTAGAAATTTGATGAATAGCCTCTATCTCCTATCCCCCCGATCGAGAAATATTCTTCTCTACATCAGTCGAACGTAACCTTAGAATCGGACAACGAGCATGCTCGTGCAGAACTGGACTTTCGGACAAGTATGAATCAGTTCAAGAGAACTTGAACAAGATTACTGGTACCAAGTTCGAATACTTTGACGGCGAGACAAGCTTTAGAATCTTCGACCATCTTTGTCCTGTGCAGCACGATGCAAAGCGATACGTAGATGGTCAATACAGATTTCTAAGAGTGAGAGATCGACCGTACAACCAATTTACTACATCTACCAGTCTATCCGGAAAAGGCGCAAAATACTTTGCTTGATTCTCGGATGATTGGTATTGCACTTAGGATCCTCCAGTTAGGACTTCTCCAAAGAGACAGTACACTGAAAGAACCCTCGGTCTCCTCCTGTACTATGAAGTACATGACTCTGCGATATCCTGAGAAAGTATCGTCGCACGAGTCTGCCACAACTGCTTCTCGTTATTGATCGAAGCCTATAGCCATAATGCACTAAACTTTCATAAAAGAGTCTGATTTGAGACGCCAGTCTTTTCGTTACTCTCTAGTTCCATGCTTATGATCACTACGTTTGTCGTGCTTTATCTCCGAGACTTTTCATTTCTTACTCGCATTCATGTCTCTGAACCTGAATTTACATCAGAGAACATGCCTCAATAATATTGGTCAAGTGTCTGTCAGATACTAAAGTCAACTACTGAATGCTGATAAAGTAGCGGTCTATAAACTTCGCCTGAAAGCTTGTCTCAGATGCGGCTTGTCATAGTGACGGAGTTATAGTGACGGAGTTAAAATCAGTCGGGGGGCTCGTTATAGATGTCAAATGCGTCCAACCGAAGGTTTTGTCAATTTCAAATCTTATCTCCACGTAAGGTTAATGATATACACTCCTCAGGAACAAGGTCATGAAGTAATTACTAAGTCTTTGCAAAATAAGAATTGGATATTGAATCATGCTGTGGTTTTAGCTCTTCTCGCAATTTCGTAACCACGGTGTCGTTCACTCCGTCTGAGACAACTTCTGATCAGAAAGGGTGTACAAGTTTCGCAACACCTTCGTGACTCGTGAGGCGTTTCACTTCGTGACCGTGAGCTGCCTTTCAGCATCTTGCCCTCTGCATTGGCTGCGATCGTCCTCAGACGTAGACGAGGTCGTACTTTTAGGCAGTTCAAGTACTTTGCGTCCACTTCTCCTCAGTCCATGGACAACTCTTCTCTCCTTGCCCGCTTGCGTAGGTCACACTACTTTCCAGTTCTTGACTAATAGGACTCATGTTAAAACAGAAAGATCTTCATCCTCACTAAGAGCAAACTCTGGATCTCAATTGTATATACCCTGGCGAAGGGTATCCACAACTTGCGCCACATTCATCTTCCCCTTGACGCAGCAACAGGCCTCAGTTTTGAATCTGGAATAGGTCAGCAAGGCTATATCAATCAGGAGGTGGGTACTGCAGTCGGCTCCTCGTGGAGCTCCATCAATCAACCTTCCTTTGAACTCTCATGTGCATCAGAGCCACGTCTTGCCAACACAGTTCAGTTCTGCAGAAAGAACCTATCAACAGTTCATTTCTTCCATAAGATCCACCAGGTGAGACGCATTACTTTCTTTGAGGAAATGCCTGGTAACATGTGGACCATTTTCATCCACTACTACTAAGCCATGAAGTTAAAAATTATTACAGCCATTATCTTCCACGTCCGACAAGAATGACCTTTCGACTTTCTACTGTTTAAGAAAACAAGAAAACTGTTTTCTTTTTGTCTAAACGAACTCTCTTTAGAGACGACAGTAGATCAACAGACGAGCACACATGCTCCTGTTTACTGTTCTTCAGATACATGAACTGAACAAAGATATGGATCGGCCATTCGTGTGGCTCTCCAAGTGGATGGGAAAGCATAGATCGCCTTAGTTGGAAGGAATAAAAAGTGATTAATCTGAAGCCTCGAGGAGGACTCAACCTACATTAGTAAATTTTTACTGGTTAGTCAACACTTGATCATGCAAAAGGTGTGCAAACTGGTTCAACGGGAGACTGAAGATGGGTGGGCCGCTTCAAAAGCTGCATTTTACTTGCAGTGAAATGAAGGATTGTAAATGGTTGCAGGAAGTGATGGAACTACGCACGATCTGGTACTGTGTTGGGGGCCAGTAGAATGCGTTGTTCATGAACCAGCCGTAACTTTCATTCTGAAACTATGGACTCCGATTAGCAGTAGTCTAAACCTCCATCTCAAAACCACGTTTCCAATCACCTTCTTGTGAAGCTAGTGAGTGAGGTTGCCGAAATTCCGAATCTCATAATTAGAAATTTGTTGTACATTGGAGATAATTTTACTATATCTTCTAACTGCAAAGTGAGTTGTAGGTTACTTTATGTCACCCCAATTGTGAACAACGTGGGGATGGTGAGAAGTATCATCTGAATATTCAAAACATTTATTTTTGTCACATATTTATCAAAGCACGTCATACGTCATTTTCTCATCACAACACCTAAACCTGCTATAATTGAACATGCATCATCTTCACCTTCAAAAAGTCCACAAAGAAACTCTCTCATCTTATAGACAAAGACAATAAAGTTGATATCAAGTCCAACCCAACGCGCTCTACAGATCCATAATAATATACACAAGTTAATTAAAGATAGCCACACTCCACAATACTTAGCAGAAAAACTAAAGTGCATGGATCTCTAATTTGAACTCTAACCATTAGTCTTAAGTATTGGTATGACTTTGTG